GACAAACTCAAGCCTACGCGACTGGACCGAAAGGAACTCTGGGTAGTAATCATTGAAGCCGAGTTGACTCCATAATTTTATCTGACTAGTTATGCCTGGTTTACAGCACGAACCTTCGTAGGCGAGCGGGAAATGTTGAAGGAGACTTTTTCTTAATGCCTTCATGTATTCGAAATTGTGAACTGAATAATAAGTACTTTGTTTTTGTTTCCTTAAACCCAAAGACATGCATTTGATGGATTGTTTCTCACCATTATTATCTTATTACTAGCGGGAACAATTTATTCAGAACGAATATTTAAACCGCTTCAGTGATTTTTACCTATATTCCTTTCGGTCCAGTCGCGTAGACTTGAGCCGGTCGACGACAACGTTTTTTGAATTGACTGTATATAACTGCACACCTCTCACTTTACCAAAGTATTTAGTATTATTTATTAAACTTTAAATTGTTTTGAGGGCTGGGTTGGAATGACTGTAAGGAATTTTACTTTATCTAAGTTGTTTTTAATTTTAGGAGGAACTAAAGTATGTCTGTCAAGCCAAGTCAAAGAAGCTCATGTAAGTGATTATATTATAAAGAACATGCGTAATAGGTAAATTATGAGCCTTAGATAAAACGACTGAAGAAGAGGGCCAATGGGCCTTTCGCAACTTCAAGTCGCGTAAAAAATGAGCCAGCTCAACTAGAAACCGTGGAAAGCTGCTTCTTCAGTCGTTTCATCTTAGGCTTGTAATTTATCTATTACGCATGTTCATCTATCTGATTATATTATTATGAGAGATCATGTTACTATTATTTATTGATTCTTCTATCCATCCATCCATCCATCCATCCCTCCATCCATCCATCCATCCATCCATTCATCCATCCATCCATCCATTCATTGGTTTACTCAATCATTCATCCATTTATTCATTCCTTTTTGTTTCATTTTTTTTTTCAGGAGTATGCTTGCAGAGACTTTAAAATCCCAAAGAAATCATCTCAGAATGATGGCCATAGTAACCTTAAGTCATCCAGCATGAGCCAAAAAAAAGAGGATTCTTTTACCTCGAAATTTAATTGCAAAACTACGAAAAGCCATTGGGATCTTGAATCTTCCTTTGGTGAACAATTGAAAACTATGATGACAAGAAACTCCAATTTGAAAAATAAGAGCGGCAAATTAAGAAATATTAGACAGATGGTGCAAAGACAAGATGGGATCCAAAATGTATCAGCAAGAAGAAAAAGTGGAAACACTAGTTGTTTACCACTTCATAAAGAAGCTTCTGTCACAGATAAAAATAAAAGGATAAATGATGGGCCGTTCAGCGAGGAGATAAACCAGATCATGCATAGGGATAAGCAAAGTATTGGTCATAAAAATGTTGAGGAAACGAACTTAACGAATTCACCTCAAGAAAGAGATTTTCCGCCAAGTAAACTAATCAGTTTCCCTTCTGCTGCCGCAACACCACGGAATTCTATACATGAACACTCTACCTCTGAAGATGAAAAGGATAAATCAAATTCTAAATCTTTTTATGGGTCAGAAAGAAGACCCAAGGTGGTAAAAACTTACGGCAATAAAAAAAGCTGCACAATAATGAATGAAATTAGACAGAGGACAGAAAATAATCGAAAAATCAGTGTATCTACGAGTGATGTTGATGAGTCAGAGTCACCAGTTAAAAACACCAAGAAACGAAAGATAACTAATAAAAAGGTAAGGAAACTAAGCAGGTATGCTTGTTGCAAAAAAGCACTTTCCTATAAGAGGCTTTGCACCATGACATGATGATGATGGTGATGATGATGATGATGATGATGATGATGACTTTATTGACCCCTTTACATTAGAATTCCAAAGTGCTTTACAGCATTATCCAAGGCCGTAACTAGGGGGGAGCACGGGGTGCATGTGCACCCCCCCCCCCATAAGAGCTAAAGGTCCGCTCATGCATCTCCTTTTTTTTTGGTTCTGCTTTCTTTTGGTTACCTTTTTTTATTTTTTATTTATTTTTTATTTATTTTTTATTTATTTTTGGTTCTGCTTTCTTAAAAGAAACAATCAATGGTCCGATTTTATTTGATGTGCACCCTCCCTGTAAAAGTTCTGGTTACGGCCCTGTTATCAAAAGAAATATATAAAAAATAATATGTAATAACAACCAAGAAAACTAGATGATGACTAGGCGATGGCAGCCATGACAGGAGGCACAACAGTAGGGTCTTTCTCCCCTGAGAAACTGAATTCTTTCTCTTGGAAATCAGATGAGACCAGATTCAATTGTTCCTGCCTCCTGTCAAGGCTGCCATCACGTGATGATGCAAAGCCTCTATTAATGATTTTATAGGATATTACATGGTCATGCTGAGATAGGGATTTTGTCGAAAATCATATCTGTTCCAAGACGCCATGTAATGTTATATTTTTTAAAGTGCTACTACGACGAAAATCGCTTAAACTTGGATTCAGCTGAGACTTCCTAAGAATACTCTTTAAAGGTCCAATAATCACTGTATGAAGTGTTTTCTCGATATTCAGGACAAAAGTATGATATTTCTACAATTATTTTTTGGAGTCTGAATCCAAGTTTGAGCGATTTTCGTCGTAGTAACACTTTAAATTTAAAGGGACTCTGAGGTGCCAGACACATCATAGCTTAAAATGTACATCAAACCTTGTTGATTTTGAAAATCGAAATGAAAATTCCATGAAATGCGTTTTTTGGGGTGATATCGTCCGTCAAAGTTGCGAAATGACTTAAGCGGGGCTACCTGTGGAATATCGCGGATTTGATGGCTTGGGATGAATGAGGTGTGATGACGTCAGATAGTGGAACATGTTGGATAGCTGGAGCTGAATCAACCAAATTTCGCTATGGAAGTATGGCTGTTCTTTATCAATTTGAGCCGGAAATTGCTTGAGGAGAAGAATATAATACATCCGATGAAAGTGTGAGCGAGGACAGTGAGCTAGAAGAAGTGTCTGGCATCTCAGAGTCCCTTTAATCTTAATACATGCCGTGTTGTGTCTGTGTTTCAGAATATAAAGAAAAATGAAAAGAATGAAAATTCAAATATTGGTAAGACATTCCAGAGAACATCCCAGAAGTCATTTTAGGCTTTGATCTATGAGACAGCCATGTCCTGAGTTAGATCAGYGAAGAAGTTGTTTCATTGTTCAATCTATGAGTCAGCTATGCCCCGAGTTAGATCACCAAAGAGGTTGTTTCAGGGTTCTATCTGTGAATTAGTCATGCCCTGATTAGATCAGCCCAGAGATTGTTTCAGGGTTTGATCTGTGAGTTAGATGTGCCCTGACTTAGATCAGCACAGAGGTTGTTTCAGGGTTTGATCTGTGAGTTAGCCATGCCCTGACTTAGATCAGCCCAGAGGTTGTTTCAGGGTTTGATCTGTGAGTTAGCTGTGCCCTGACTTTGATCAGCACTGGGGTTGTTTCAGGGTTTGATCTGTGAGTCAGCCATGCCCTGACTTAGATCAGCTCAGCGGTTGTTTCAGGATGGAATCTGTGAGTTAGCCATGTCACCTCAGAGGTTGTTTCAAGCTGTCAGTTAAACTCATTGGCAATGATGATAAATAAATGGAAGTAAAAACTATACTTTCCGACCATGTACTTACTGCAGGGTAGAGGTGGGGTCAAAACAAGGCAATTGTTGGTGTTCAATAATCATATAACATACAATAGCAAAGGATTGCCACAATCCGCAAGACTGACCTCATTTAAGAACCCCCAGCATGCAACGGGGGCCTGAATGCGTACATGCATGAAACTGCTGGCCAGCAATCTTGATTTAAACTTTGCCTAAATTTCRTTACACCACATTTAGCCATTAACATTCTTTTTTCAGGTTGTTCCAGAGTTCGATAACACTAACTTTTTCTAATTTTTTTTAGGGAAACAAAGAAAGAAGCATAAAGCTGAACCAGGTAGGTGCACTATTCTAAAATATCGTATTATCACCAGTTATTGTACCTCTCACCCTCTCTGCTCTAAATTTACTTTACTGGACTGCACCTCATCCTAACCCCCACATCTCACCCACGCCTACCCCTCACCACATACCCCTCAACCCTAGCTCCAAGGTTTTTACCTGAGAACTACTGGACTACACCCCCACACCTCATCCTAACCCCCACATCTCACCCACGCCTACCCCACACCACATACCCCTCAACCCTAGCTCCAAGGTTTTTACCTGAGAACTACTGGACTACACCCCCACACCTCACCCTAACCCCCACACCTTACCCCCAACCCCCACCCCCCCAGGCTTTATGTAGCTTGAGTTTCCCTTGAGATACATTTCTTTGTTTGCAGATTTTTTGTTGATATCATCAAGTGATGAGGAGGACAATCGTAGTGGTAAGTATATAGTGACCTGCAGATTGAATAACGACTAYGGCGGCATATGCCAACTACCCAATACGTCTTCCATCAATCAGATAAATTGGTCAGTATCTTTATATTCTCTGATTGGCAGCAGTGTATTGCCCAGTTGCAACTGTAGTCTCGATCAGCGCGTAGTATAAGAGTGGTAAAAAGTCCTTGAATTTTATTCGAGATGTAGCACGAACCCCGTTAATGAAAATGCCTTCCTTAATCTATTAAAATGTGCTTTAAAGGACTTGGAGATGGAAACATAAGTGGAACAGAATCAACTATGCCAAAAACCAAACCAGAAAGTGATTCCACACCTGTAAAACCAGTAGCAGAAAATAGCATAACGACAGTAAAAAAGCAATCTTCTGGTGTATGTAAAACGACAGGAGCTGTTGATGATCCATATGAACGGGATAGCTTTACTACTGAGATCATGCTGGGACCTAAAGTCATGATAGGGAAGCTGAAGGGCTCTGCTAATGGAGCCCTTGAGGTAAGGAATCAATGAAAAATGTTCCTTTGATTGCACTGCTAGTATAGATGTTCTGCCCTGCCCTGCCCTGCCTACAATAAGCTTGTATAAACCCCGTATTGCATTGGGTAAGAATTACAGTTACATTAGCCTTACTGAATTCTTATTATTTTTTAGATTACAGCACAACAACTAAAGTGGAAGATGGAATGCTGTAAGTTATTTACTTATTTTTGCTGAATACTACCATTGGGGACAACACTAGCAACCAACACCACTTTTATACAGTACCACAGTTGTCGTAATCAAAGGGATTATTATCTTGCAGTTTAATTTACGACTGCCTCCACTTGGTAGCTCAGTAGTCATTAAGAGCATCGGTCTGTTGTGCAGGAGGTTGTGGGTTCAAAGCTTAGCCAGACCAACAATCAGGGTCTTAAAATAACTGAGAAGAAGGTGCTGCCATTATTACATCTGCAAATGGTTAGACCTTAATATGGCTCGGATGACCATGTTAATGGCAGTAACGTTGGTTATCAAATAGAGACGTTATTATAAGAGAACCATGGATTTATCAGTTACATTAGTGCCAAGCTTTATCCTCTAAAAACTTCTTTTATTTATTTATTTATTTATTTATTTATTTATTTACAGGGCTCTCTTTAAACTAGCTCTGCTAAATGGGACATATCTTTACAAATATTGTTGAAATAAAACCGATAAAAAATAAAATAAATAAATAAAAGAGATTGATTTTTCTTTGTTTACTTAAGCTTTTCATTTTGATTGACAGTGGACAATAATAATAGGCCTGTAGAAAAAGTGGTTCTCATTCTTGCCGACTACATTAATTCATTCAAGGTAGGAAACATGTAACAAACCTACATGTGCACTTCTTTAGGAACAGTGTTAGGCCAAAAACAATCGCTGGACATCAGAAAGGTCCTCCCAGAATTGGAACTTGTTCGATCAAATCTTTGCTTTGCCGTTTTAAAGTAACGTTGAGCCAGAACAAGGTATAATGAAGCTAAAACTAATTTGGTTGGTTGCCATGACCAGCAACTTACCAGCGGTGGTTGTCAGCCCTGGGCCATGTCAAAATACTTAAGATACCAACCAGTCAATCCCTGGTTATGATGACTGGCTGGCCAAATTAGTTTTAGCTCTGTCATACTTCATTTCTGGTTCAACATTACTGGTCAAAATGAAGCTTATTGCAAAACAACAAGTAGAAAAGAAAATACTGCCTGCTCGCACAGCCAATGAGAATATTTTTAGGCCCTGATAACAGATAAGAAAAATGTATAGAATATTTAAATCTTAATTAATATTCTTGATCTTTCTACTGTCTTGGTAGATCCATGTAGATGACCCCAAGATCATAGTATTGGAGGTGAATCAGTGTTGTGCTTTGAAGCTACAGGGAAAGTTCAGCGGATTTGGTAAATTCTTTGATCCATGCAGTGCAGGTGAGATGCAGGTTTAGTGCATCGCTTGTCTTTGTCAAGTCAGTCTTTTTTCCTGTCTTGGGTGGCATGCACTGCTACGACGCTTTCTCTCACTGCTGTATGGTCAGTACATCCCTACTACAGCAACATTGGTGAGAGGCAGCATGTTAGCAATGCAACACCCGTGCATCTATTGCTATTACGTCTCATATCTAGGATATGGTTGACCAATAAAAGGCTTCCTAAATATGTCTAATATTTATTTATGCTATATTTGTTTCAAGTGGTAGAAGAAACATATATTGTACTTCAAGTAGATGATGTACTATCAGCTGAGACCCTTGCAGATATTACAGAATGGGTAAGAACTACCATTAATCACATCCTGTAAAGTTCGCAGGCTTCGTGCAGGTCCTTAATTTTCATTATTTAGGCTACCTGTGGTTATCCCAAGGAAAATCTGCTAAAGAACGAATGAAAGCTCCAAAATTTTTGTTGTAGTCCTTGGCAAGTGCAACAACAAATTAAGCTTTAGACACATCTTTTTGAAATGCCCTTGAATATGAAAATTTTGTCCTTGAATACTCCTTGAAATACCCTTGATTTTTTTCTCTTGGGAATCAAACGCGAGCCCTGAGCTTAGCAAACTATGTCCATTAGATAAAATAAATAAACAAATCTTTTTTTATTTGTATGCAGGAGGATTTAAAGCTATAAGCTTGTGGGGCTGGGTATCCTTCATACACATTCCTTACTACATTCGAATATTCTATACACACAACTCTCAACTCACATATTTTTGAAATTTATCACAGCCTTGATTGGAATGTTCATATCTTCCTCCTACCCCCCACCCCCGTTCTTTGTCTTGCTAGAAAGAATACTTCATTTTTTTTTCATTTGTTCAATGTACTTTGTAGGTTCAAGACAGACTTTGCAAGGAATTCAAAGAGTTAAGGTTGGCAGTATTTTCTAGCTTTACAGCAATAACTTGTATCCATGTCATTAACCTCGCTTTCCAATAAGTTGTGGCATTTACTGTACTTTAATCATTGCACTTTGCAAAAAAATGCTTTAAACTGGGCTAATCTTCTCTTGCCAACATACAATTAAATTCCTTCTTTTGATCTGGGTAAACTTTACAAAATGACAGATTTCACTATAATACTAATAAAGCATTTTAGAATGTCATGGAGTAGCCCCATATGGGTAGTGGTGGTTGTAAAATATAAGTTTTAAGTTTGATTCCAAAGCTATTTTGTTTCTTGGGCCCTGTCCACACGTATCCGCAAATTTTTGTATCCGCAATTTTTTTTTTTATGGATAGGGGTTGCGTCCACACCCGTCCACAAATTTTTGTGTCTGTATCCGCATATTTTACGAAAACGGATGCGTGTGGACGGTGAAAACAATTCGAATACGCTGCGTGTGGACACAAACATTTTCGTATCCGCAAAAAATAATTTGTGGATGCAAAAATTTGCGGATACGTGTGGACAGGGCCTTATCCTTCTGCACTTATTTGTAATCTAGTGATGAAGAAACAGAGAAATTGAGTAAATGGTTAAATTCTTCATCTAATTCAACATCAAAAAGTGAGTGAAATAGTAAATAACAATAAAACTATATAAGCAACACAGATATACACTTGTGGAGAAATGTCTTAATCTTTTTCCTTCTTCTTTCCCTTTTCCGTTTCTAGTTCTTATTTTCTTTAGAAATGACTTCATATGATTATTGGCATCCTTATAGTGGGTGGTTCTTATATACTGCATTTCATGTTCTCTCATGCCTTATTCCCATCCTTATTTATTGTTTCATCCTCATTCTTTTCCCAAATTACTTAATGTATTCTTAATCAGATTCTTATTCCCAATTTGTCCTGCAATGCTTACCTCTATGTGCATTCTCTTTGTTATTATTTTTCTTGTTTTTCTCATTCTTATTCCTTTCTCTTATTCTTTTTCTCCTTTTTCTTCCTATTTTTTTATACATAAATTCTCATTCCCATCATTGTTCTTGATTTTATTATTTTTCTCATTCCTCTTTTCTTTCATTTTCTTTTCATTTTCATTCCTTATTTGTTCTGTAATACTATTACCATTGATTTTGGATTTTCTTGATTTTATTATTTTTCTCATTCCTCTTTTCTTTCATTTTCTTTTCATTTTCATTCCTTATTTGTTCTGTAATACTATTACCATTGATCTTGGAAGGTGTTGCTGCCAAGCAGAATTCCCACTACAACACCAGATCAAGTGCTATCAAGTTAACAGCAAGAACCACTGTTACTCCAACCAAGTAAATACTGGATCCTATATTATTATATCATCTCTTATATCATCACAAAGATGRGGTTCTATTAAGAAAATTGACATGGCTAATCACCGCCGCAAGTGGCGCAGCTCAACGAGGTCAAACTGAAAGCATGTGATGGCGCCTCTGGCGGCACCTATACTGTCCATGTATGACCCTGGAGCACAGCTCTAACCAGTTTGAATTAGTTAGGGTTGATTTTTATTTATTTTTTATTGTAGAATGATAATCTACCCTTTCCCTCCCACCCCTGGTGGAATAACTGTCACGTCTGCCGACGTGGAGTGTCTGGCGGAAGGAGAGTTTCTTAATGACGTCATCATTGACTTTTATCTGAAGTAAGTATTATAGTCAGTTATTGTAATCAATCTATCATCCACCCATTTAATACATTATAATTATATCCATCCATCCACCCATCCATCCACCGATCCATCCACCCACCCACCCA